CCCCAAAACCCCAAAACCCCAAAACCCCAAAACCCCACCAGAGTCTGGAATTATTGAAACAAGGAATTCAAGTACTTGGGCGGCTTCTTCGTCTTTGACAGATTTAGATTTGCTCTTAAGGATTTTAAATTGTGCTTGGACTATAGGGTAAAGTACATAAGGCCTACATTCTGAATGGCTAAAGCTAGTCTCTCTCCACTTGTGTAAGCTTTAGGGTTTGAAGATAGGGTTGTCTGAGGGAGGAGATCGAATGAGATGTTTTTAGAAGAACGTTTTATAAATGCCTCAGGTACATCCCGATGACTAGAGAAGGGAGTTTAGTAGTTTTAGAGATTTTCTTACTTGTTTGAAAGACTTGTATGAACTCTATTGCTTTGAGTGCTGGCTGACCTGTCTCTGTAATCAAAGCATTGCACTAATTTTCCATATTGCTTAAGAACCCTGGTGTTGTAGTCAACTTTTACAGCTACTTTTTTGTCACTATTCTTGATACCTCTTCTATCAAATGCATTCATCTAGACAAAATCAATAAAAGTCCTAACAAAATTAAGATCTTTTCTATTTTAAATATAGTGACAAGGAATGGTTATTCTGAAAGCTCTTCAAACATCGACATAATAAATTTTGATAAAATCTCTAATCTTCTCAACAAAATTGTTAAGAATTACTCCTTTGTGTATATTTGACTGAAACCTCTCTGAATCTTGGGTTAAATTTTTATCTGCTCTGACTCTTGCTACTGAATGGTTTGTTTTTCTGATCACTAAATAACCATTATACGCTAAATTCAGTGAGAAAATGTTTAAAAAGTAATAAATTCTGCTGCACGACTACTTCAGACATTTGTTACTAGTACAGCACTTCTTTGAAGGAGCAAAGAAGTCTTAAATCATGGGTTAATTACCTGAAGTGAAATACTTCATGTTATTATCAACACTCTCAATTGACTTCTTGTTATTTTGACATAAATATATTTCTAACCTTCTTGATAAAGCCTTTCTTCATCCTCTTTCTCTTCTTTCTGATGATTTTGAAGTTATGAGATGAAACATTTGATACCTAGAAGTCAGATACTATGAGTACCCTCTGCTCTACAGGAAGTTTGGAGCCATCATTTGTCTGTAAGTCTGAGGTGACTATAGACTGTAGCTTCTCCAACTGCTTTTTACAGTTCTCTGAAATCTTCTTATTTGTTTATACCAGCATTTTGGATATCTGAAGAAATAATTGTTAGAAAATTACCTGCGTCGACTCATTTTATTGAGTTATTTAAGAACTAGAGCTCCTTGTTTGAGCAGGTTGAGGTCTATAGCACTTAGGAAGGATAATTACTAATCTCATAACTAGGCTTGATGCCATAGGCATAAGCATCATCGTAATCTCTATCAGTATGGCTCCTGTTACCCCTGGCTGAATAATTATTCCGTTCCATATATTTTCAAATTATAAATATATATATGGGGTTTTGGGGTTTTGGGGTTTTGGGGTTTTGGGGTTTTGGGG